GCGATTCTGGCATCGTGCCGGTATTTTGGCTGGGGCGGGGCACCGCAATGCAAATCATGCGGATAAATAACGACACCCACTAGTGATTCTGGCTTAATGAGGTTAGATGGGTGTCAGGCTTCGCGTTTCTGGCATGACGTAAGGATCGCGAAGCCTGACTTTCAGCTATCCGCATCTGTTACATGAGAGAACTAGGTTCAATTCCGGGTTCGCCACAATCTTTGTAGTATGTTGCATTTGCCTTGCACGACATTTTTCGTGTATTGTTCGCACATCGAGGGCGAGAAAATTGAGGAACTAATCTTAGGGATGAGGTTCAGCTTCTGGTTTTGTACTACTGCTGACAGTACATGGTGATGTGGTGGAGGCTGTTGTGCATTCGATGTAAACAAGCCATAAGATTCTCAAAAAATTAGTTTCTCATGTCCTATATTTCATGGTTCCAGTATATGGCCACTCAACGTGATCTGATACATGATATCATACAAGTTGCGCCTTATCCATTCATAACTGAAGCCGAAAGGGCCCGTACCTCAACCAGGAAGGTCTATTTTCTGCAAAGAGTGACGTTGGAGGAAACAAGACCTATACAAGTCGGTGTCTTTTTTTTGCAATCTGTCAGTGTCTTCTGCTCATAACACGAGGTTTGCAGGTGAACGAAGATCGCCCGTTTCGAATGTGGTATCCAGCAACGACTCCAACAAAGATCTCAAAAGCACTCTCACCTTTCCCAGCATTGACACCATCACTGATCTCAAAAAGTCGCGCAGTCGCAGACAGCATAAATTGGAGTATCGTGTTACCTGAAACAGACACAGTAGATGAAGTTAAGGTGAGCGATATTGAAGTCATTTTATCTTGCATTTCATCAGATCAAACGCCTTATATTTATCGCTGCCTAAATCAGGTTTCCGATGCACTCATAAATTATGCACAATTTTGAAATCGTGCAGTTAGTCTGAGACTGACTATCTCTTTTTTTCATTCTTACAATAGTTCTTCCTGGAGAAGCAGAAAGAGAGGTGCTCGTGGCCAACACCTTGTAAAGCCAAAAAGATGAACTCTAGGAAAGGTTTTGATCACTGTTCTCCTGAGTATATTCGATTCCATTACTCATCGTAACACCTCGGCATTTCCGTAGCTGATTAATTTTGAGATCCTGATTCGAGGTTATTTGTTGGAAGAATTATTCTGGCGCACGTTTTGACCATCTTGTCTTCAAAGGTCCATTCCGCGAGATCAAGCGGAGGCTACATTCAGTCTGTAGACCAATAGCAAGACGCAAAAAATCTCTAGCGTAGGAAATCATAACACGTTTTAAACACTCGTGAAATGACTGAGTGTAGCGCTTCGCTATATTTCGCGGTGGAAGCTGGACCCTGGAAAAAGACGTGACGATCGAGAAGGGCCTGAATGAATTCTTCCTACTAATAACCTCGTCACAAAAGGGGGTGTCAGTCGAGACCTGATTCTCTCTCTCTCTCCCTCTCTCTCTCGTTCTTCATAGTTAGTCCGCACTGTAAGCTGTCTAAGCTACATAGCGAACATGTGATTCATATTTGTCTTGCGAAATTGAATTTTTTTAGATGAGAGAATCAAGATTGAGGACCGATATTCGCTTCGGGACCAGCCGTACGACGTCGTCTTTATGATTATTTGAGAAGAAATCACAAAACATGTAGAAATGGCAGTTACAAGGTAGCCATGAGCAATTACGCTAACATCTATCGAGCTTTCTTCTCCAAAACTGAACTCACATACTCAACCTGAAGTATTCCCTAGGTGGATAATTTGGATTACTTCGCACGGGCTGAAATCGCCACATCCGAGAGTGATGTTCTGATGCAATGCTCTGTGAGTGTAAGTGTTTTCTGGCATCAGTTAGGCTGCTTCCATACTCGTCGGTGGTGGAGAGCCGCTTACTCGGTTGTAGGAGGGAGTGTGCCATGAGACCTAACTTCGCTAATAAAGAAGTTTGGCGATGGCATTGTTGCCTTGCAACTGTATCAGGGGAGCTCGGGGAACCATCCTTAGCCAACGTCGAGTTTGATTGCAGCCATAGCTTGGTTCAATCGGAAGCTGCGCAGCTTCCTGTAAGGATATTGATCCCATGGTTTATTTTTTACGCTCATTCATTATTAGGTCTTTTATCCGGATGTCAACTACGAACGAGAATCGTCGGCTCTCCGAGATGTACTCGTATCAAAGTTGAATGCTCGCCCACATATTCAACATAAAATGGAAATCGCTGTGCCGAAATCGCCGGATGCGGTAGGTTATCACGTTCAGGATTTTAATGTATTTCTATCTTCCATTTCTGCATTACCAACAAGCCTAGAACAGGCATGTTTGCATCGTAGGTTCTCAGTCACGATTATATATTTAAATATTATGAGATTGCAGCTTGTAGTAGGTGATGT